CCATCTAAAGTGCAGAATAGTGGAAAATGCACTTTCTGAACACTGTGTGATTGAATAATTCTGTGCATTTTTCAGTTCTAGACTTTTTTTGTAACAAGTGCAGCTGCTGAGAATGATTTTTGTTTAACTGGTTTGGCCAGTGTCATTGTTATGTCTGCATTGTGCACAGCATACAACCTCAAAAATATTATTCTTATTCTTTTTTTATTTATTTCTTGTATTTTTTTAGTAATAAAAATATTTCTGTTGAATTTTAGTCTTTGTTTTTATTCTTGTGGTATCGAAAAGGGTATCGAGTATCAAATATTTTACTTAGTATCGGTATTGAGTTGAAAAGTTTAGTATCGTGACGACCCTAATTCAAATAGATAAAAAAAAAAAGAGCCTTGAGAGAGAAATATTCAAAGACCAATGTAAAATTTCATCTGGGTCTAAAAAAATTAATTGTATGCAATGAAATATTTGCTATAGATATAATTTAGGGATTCCTTATGGTAGAAAGGTTTTGCATCATCTCTTATGAGCAGGAAGAAATAAAATCTTGATAGTTACTTATCTTTGAGGGCTTTGCAGAGGATGATTAGCCACATTGAGTTTATTAAGTAGCGAGAGCAGGAAGAGCCATAGTGCTGAGTCCGAACCATCAGTGTGGAGTGTAAAGCGCAGGCTCTGAGCTAAGCCGTGCAAAGACGCATTTATGCTAAAGCAAAGCTGGAAGAGCAAAGTTTTTCTGAGTTGAGCGTGCAGTACCAGACCATTCCAGATTACCTTCACCACTGCCGCTGCTGCCATGGTTCATCTGTGGTCGTGCAGAATGTGCTCCGCACAATAATGCATTTTAATGGGTTTTTTTGTCTTGTCCCGTTAACGAAAACTCATACGCAAGACTCGTCATGCTTTCGTCATCAAAGATTCATGTTTAGCTTGTCAGTTTTCATTATGGTCATAAAAAAAAGTAGTGTCAACAAAATTATTTTGTCATTGTTGACAAAAACGAAACACTCTGACATTGCATGTTACTTTAACCTTGCAAAGGTCTTTATACCTCTTAATTTTACCTCTGTCAAAGAGGGTGTGTTTTCATTTTTTTGCTTAGAAAGATTACAGAAAAGGTTATGGTCTGACATTTTTTTTTGGGCTCGCCTCTCCTAGGGGGCAGCATATATTTAGAAAGAGTAATTAGGCAAGTTCAGTCAATAGCTTTCCATAGAGCTCAAGTACCCCTCTCTCTCCATAAAAAGCCCTACATGTAAGCCTACTCACCCTATTACATCCTTATATACACATAAAGGCGGTTGTAACATATTTTTCAGCATTATAACTGCTTAGAAGGTAATGTTTTTGGTAGTGCTGGTCAATTTGTTGGTTGGTTTGTTTGTAAAATAACCTACGAACCCTGCTCTGTAAAGTTTGAAATATTTTTCTATCTCTTAACACCTTTTGTTAAAATTCTTAACCTAAAATGGAAAATGAGGAAACCAAGGCCAAAACACTGAAAGAAGTAATCATGTCAAACATTAAAAATTATAGCATTTTTGGCTATGATGTGTACAAATCCTATTTAAAAACTTCACATTTATAAACTCAATGCATTTCAATAAATTAGGAATTATTCAATAACGAAAGTACCAATATTTTTATTTATTAGGCTTAGACTAATTTAGACACATTTCTCTTTGAAGTCTTATTTGTGAGTGACATGTTTTTTGTAATGCCCTTTACCTAAGCAGGATCACTGGGAAACTTTCTTGCATTTTCCAAATTGATTTTCACTTCAGAATGATCCAATAAATTGTGTTTGTTTGTCTTACAAGCAAAATGACCTGTATATATATCTCTGCAGGCTGTGGTCACTCCACTGCTGCCCCACCAAAAGCAGGCCCTGTCCTGGATGTGCGCTCGGGAAAATAAAGACACACTGCCACCTTTCTGGGAGAAGCGAGGCGAGCTTTACTACAACAGCCTCACGTGTTTCTCTGCTAAAGAATTACCAGAGAGGGTTCGGGGGGGAATACTGGCTGATGACATGGGACTGGTGAGTGACGAGTCCTAAGTTATACCACACAATGAGTTAAATGTAATAACTGTGACTCATTATTATGTTGGTTTTTTTTCAGGGTAAAACTCTGACAACCATCGCTCTGATCCTCACTAACTTCCACAAAGGAAAACCTTTGCCTGTTGAGAAATGTGTAAGCTGCACTTTTTTTTTTTTGCCCACTAGATTTTATTCTGCAGAATTGGTGTAGTCAGTCACTGGTTTGCCTGTATGTGTGCAGGACGGGCCATCTAAGCCTATTAAAGCTAAACGTAAGCTACTGGAAGGCTCTAAACTGGAAGGTAACTCTATTGTTAATGGCAATTTTTCCACTGCATATCTTCCCTCATTGATTTTTGTCATTGATCTTTTAACTATCTCTCTAGGATTACCATTAAAATATATCAAATTAAACTTATGTATATTTTAATTCTTATCATTTTTAGAGAGCAGAGATACAGCTAGTGCAGCAGGGGGAATTTCACTCTGCTCAGAAATGTAAGGATGATTTTCAATTTCTGTATCACTTTGGGGTTTCAGGTGTTTTATTTAAACTCATTCAGTATTTAATTTTGTGCTATCTTGGACTGATTTTTTTTTTTTACATATGTGGTTCAGTCCAGAGAAAGATGTGGTTTGTGTTGATCAAGCAGATGTGGTGCTGATAGAAGATGAGCCACAGAAAAGTAATAATCAGTTCTTTTACTTTAGAAATGTATTTTATTTATGTATTTACCTTCGGCTAATCTGCATACCCATTTTCTGCTTTTCTTTTTATCGCTTTGTATTTTTGTTGTCTTTCGTATTTGCAGGTACAGGCAAAGGGAAGCATAAACCCTCTAAACGGAAAACCAGTAAAGGTGCAAACTATTAACTTTGAATGTATAAACTTGACTAGTTGAGGAACTATTCTGTTGGAGATCTACACTTAGATAAATGTGGTGTTAGTAAGAAGTGGGATTTCTTTCCTCTGAAACTCCTTGTGCTGTTTACACAGATGGTTCAGCGTTGTTTGAAGACCTGGACTTTGCGGCGGCCCTGAGTGGCTCAGCATCAGACACAGGCCCAAAGAAGAAGAAAACAGCTAAGAAGAGCAAACTTAAACAGAGTGAGTTAAACCCATAATGATGTTTTCTGGTTCACCTTAAGTCTGTGCTTAGATGATGTCAGAGAATACTTGAAGTTTGCAAACACCAGCAATGCTATTTCTATATGCAGGTGTGGAAGTTCCCATCTCTGAATATACAGATGATTTCTCAGCGAGGGCAACTCTTATCATCTGTCCTCTCTCTGTGCTCAGCAACTGGTTGGTAAGAGCTTCTCCTAAACTTATTGATGGAAATTGCTAAGGTATTCATACATTTTTCCCCCCCTTGACTTTTATGAGCTTCATTGTGTTTAAATGGGATCTCTATGAAATAGAAAGTGCACAGATTAGTGAATAATTGTGACATTTAAGAAATGGAGCATTTTTCCTCTCCCCAAAAAGATCTGAAAAGTGTGGTGCATTTTTTTATTCAGCATATTGTGTTCTGATATACTTAAACTTCACAAATTTGCCCTCTGAAGTCATCTAATTGGGAAATGAAGTTCACACGGTGGTAGCGTCATCACACTGTGGGAATTAATCTTTCTCTGCAGAGACAGAGAAGCTTGTCAGAGTTCATGTGAAAACAAATAAAGCTCTATAAACACTAATCTTGAAAGAAAACCTTTTAGAGGCGACCAAAGCCTTCAGACAGGGAGGTTCTCTTTCCAGCTTAACAAACAGCCAGAGCTGGAAAGGCTAGGTCAAAATCAAAGCCAATTTTTCATCAAGAAAATCTCAACCTGTCAATCAATCCAGGGTGCTGGACAGCAACTGACCAATCAGTGATAGCGATTTCTCCCGAGGTAAAACTACCCTCCCTCACAGGAGCAGCAGTATCTCTCACTCTATCTAACAATATTGGCTCTGTTCGAATTTATGGGCTGTATCCTCCAAGGACGCTTTCTACCTGGACTGGATCCTTAGAAGTCCTTGAAAATAAGGAGACCGAAAGAGTTTTGGCTGTGAATTCAGACAGGTCTATTCTTCGGCGAGTTTTACTGCCATAGGCTATGTAGCTTAACAACCGTGAAAGT